TTGTTGAATTCCTCTCGTCGAGCCATTTATTTGAAAATATGTCAAATTTGGAGTCCAGTCGATCATTCAATTGATGATTGTCTCCAATTATGGTTCAATGGGAAGATCTACGCTTAATTGGACCCAATTCGAACAAATTTTGGATTCATTGGATTCTCGTCTTGTTGAGACAGTTAATTTGAATATAAACTCGTTAAAACAAGGCCATGGCAATCTTAAATTTGAATTTAAAATTTTTATTATTAAAAATGTATCGATGTATGTGTTGGATGATAAAATTTATTGATTGCATGCTTGAGCTATTGCCACATAGTATATGAGGAACTTGAATCTATTACATTAAATACCTCCTTTTTTGAGAGGAAAGGATGATAAATATGAAGAGCCCATATATACTAACAACAAGTTAGGTGGACCAATTGCACTTGTATGAAATTAAATTATTGATGTCTCATTGAAAAAATAATCCAACCAACTTTAATTTTGATGCTTTTTTTTTTGAATTAATGCTCTTTTAATTTAATTTGGAACATTCCAAACTTCATGTTGAGCATCTTATAATTGAAATAAAAATTTTAATAAGATGAGCCTAATGATATCAAAATTGCATTAATTTGAGCTCAAATAATCAAAGTCATGCATTTAAGGTATGATTTAAAATTTTATGACGTTATATGATGCACTAAACAATCTTCGAATCTTTATGCTTATGATAAAAAAGTGTCTCAAAAAGAAGAATTCAAAGAGCATTAAATTGCTTAATTTTGGTATTATGAATATAACTATATGCCTTAAAAAATCATGTACGTTGAAGAGGATCAACATATGTCGTTCAATTGAGTATTTGAGGATTTTAGAAAAATTAAATAAAATATCACTATTAAAATTATAATTAGACTATGACTTTACATAATGGGAGAGTAATGGGGAATAAGTTCATATAATTGAAAAATCTTAGAGCTTTGCTCGATGATTGACGTTGTCATCACATCTGGTGGTCATTATTGTCCAACTACCTTTATGCAACTATCATCTCATAAACATTATTGACAACAATATTATACCAGAGACTACTAATAAGATTGATTTCATCAATGTTAATATTGATGTGTGCCATCATTAACTAGTTTAATGTGGGTCATCAACAACAACATCAATACATGTCATCACTATTATGATCAATGCACATGGCTCCAATGTTGATGATTGATGGCTTTGTTTCTTGTATGCTTTCCATTGCTAACAACCTAACAAAAAATTGATATTAATAAGGCTTTAACCCATCATCGATTCCAACACCACCATGGTTGGTGCTTGTTATCAACACCAAATACTTACACTCATCAATGCCAATATGGTTGTCATTCCATGATGATACCAGGGATATATGCTTTCATTCTAAAAGATGGAATATTTAGTATACTACTAACTACTTGTTGAAGTTAACTTCAACATTATAGGACTTTATACTTACACCATGCAAGCTCTTTTCCTTAATTCATGTATAATATATTTTATTAATGTATTTCCAGTTGTGAGGAAGAGTATCATATAGCGTATGATCACATTAATAGAGTGTGATAATTATTTGGAATTTATTTTTAAGAAAATATTTATATTATGAAAGAACTTGCGATAAATTTATTTTAGAGATTTTATTCAAATTTTAAAACAAAAAGTTATATCATTGAATAAAGATTAACTTGTTTAGGATTTAGTATATATAGGCCTTTGATTTCATGCAAGACACAAAATTTTAGATATCATTGATTATAGGTTTAGGAAGGGTCAAAGAGGATGTGAAGTGTTGGAAAAGTCATAGCAATCAAAATCAAGATGGAAAGAAAATAATTTGTGAGTAATTATATTTCTAAATTTTAGTACTATTATCTATTTCTTAGCCTTATTCATTTAATTAATATATTTTCAATTCAAGTTCAAATTGATAATCTCTTTTGATTTTCTCTTTATTAAACTTCATATGTCATATTGTAGAAATAAAGAATGAGTTATTCTTACTTTTATGACTGTATATGCTATAGTTTCCATCAAAATAAAACCTTTCATATTAGTAGGATATTAATATTGAATTAAATATTCTTTTTTTTTTCCTCAATTGCTCATTTTGATAGTGTGAACTCACAAACTATTCAAAATTCAACATTAGTCATCAAAAGTTACTTGTGAAACTCTTAAAAAGAGGAGAAGAAAAAAGCAAAGAAAATCAAATAACAATACGTTTGATCAATTGAACACCAACCCTAACTTCAGTGGAGCGAAGCCTCCCCCAAACTTCCAGAAGTCTTCGTTGTAGACTAAAAAGTTAACTAGCAAACGGTGACAAAATCATATTAAAAGAGAGTATTTGGCTCTTAGTTTTTTTGGCGTGGAGTCGGAAAGAAAGCAAGTCAGTGAAAGCAATAAATTGACCTTTACCAAACTCCTATACGCGGCGCTTTGTTAAGGTCTTGTCTCTTCGATCAGTTGACGTGATTAGCGGTGTCATTAATTTACCGTTTAACCACTTAATTAATGGCCTAACAGTTTTTTCAAATTTCTGCTGGACATGTTATCTCACAGTTACTGTGCTGCAAAACAATGTGGCTACATGGAAAAAGTGTTTAAAATAATAGTAAAATATGTATTGCTGCTTCACTGATATATTTGAATATTACTTTATTGACAGGCGTATTTGACTAAAATTAAATAAACTGCAGAAATTATTTACTGGAAAATAATAATAATAATAATGATAATAAGAGAAACTAGAACAAATTTAATGCAGGAGTTCTACATCATTTACACTAATTAGTTGGTAATTATGCAAAGAAGAAGCTTCATTGAAATTATTAAAAACAAATATTAAAATCAATTTAACTATCCAAAATATAGAAACAATGTCATGTGTGAATGATTCCAACGTGCATATAGATGTACTCGAAGTGTGCTCCGAGTGTACTGGGGCATACACCCTCAATCCATACGTACAAATTGATTGTGCATAATATTCTCTCAAATATATCCCATAAATTTGGGCTGGTTGAGAGAATTTCTTGAAAACTACAAGTCCATAACTGTATTTTAACAAAGAATAAGGAATAGGTCAGGCTAACCTAACTTGGCTAGGAATAGTATATCAGAATAGAATTATTGTTCAATCCTGATCAATGTGGTCGGGTGAATCTGGTCATTGTTCAGTCCTGATCAATGAAATTATTAAAAAAATAAAATAAATTTAATTTAACTATAAAAAATATAGAAACAATGTCATGTGTGAATGATTCCAACGTGCATATAGATGTACTCGAAGTGTACTCTGAGTTTATTGGGGCATACACCCTCAATCCATACGTACAAATTGATTGTGCATAATATTCTCTCAAATACATCCCATATGTTTGTTCTGGTTGAGAGAATTTCTTGAAGACTATAAGTCCATAACTGTATTTTAACAAATAATAAGGTATAGGTCAGGCTAACCTAACTTGGCTAGGAATAGTATACATAATAGAATTGTTGTTCAGTCCTGATCAATATGGTCAGGTCAAGCTGGTCTCCAACCCTTGAGTTATTCACGTGTGTATTATCACTCTTCATGTTGTTTTCCTTGAGCTCATTTCCCCTCAAACTCCTTTTTCTTCTCTTCACCTATTTTCTATCATTTAAATCCTGCTTTCTTGGTGCAACTTATGTGCTTTTTTTTTCATTTAGAACTTAATTAAGCTGCTTTATGAACATTAATTTCTATTTTACATTCTTAGAGGCAGCATTTTAAAGAACAAAGGTGAAAAACAGAAGAAACTATCTACTTTTTATCCAAATAGTCCCTGCTTTTTGTTGTTTATTATTTTTATCTTATATTGCATAGAAAGTAGGAACAAAATGAAGCTTTTTTTCCTTCTGTTATTCTCATTTTCATGTTTACTTCCCATTAATTAAAATAAGAGATCTGACTAAGATCTGCCTGTTCCAATTATTTTCAGCACTTAATCCTGAAAAATGGTTGGAATTTAAGCTTCAAGAAATTGCGAAGGCTTTATAAGGTTGAGATGGAATCTAAGAATATGGTGACCAAAATTACTCAACTCCAAATTCTTTTTTTCTTTTTAATTATCACTTTGATTTCATTTCAAGGTTATTGGGAACACGAACCTACATGTTAAGATAAAAATCCTCTTTCAGATTTTCAGACATGTTGTAAGATAGTTGTCTTCCCCATATCATCAAGACACTATATATAAAAGAGAAATTTTGTTATGCGAAGTAGTTTGACAATAGTTTGATGGCTTCATAGACTTGCAATTTGATATAAAATGTATCTTCCTAGACTTGCAATTTGAAATAAAAAGTGGTTTAATATTCATTTGTGTTTGTTACTCTGAAAGATAAGAGGACCTTGTTTCAAAACGTGCCTAGTTTCCCATTAAATGAAAAAAATGGCTTTCAATATGTTGATTAAATGGAAATTTGCATTTTTATTTTTCTTTGTTGGGCCTAGATTCTTTGAAGCTTTGTGATGAGGTATTATTTGTGGTCCGAGTTGTATTAGGTTTGTAATTTTATTTATTTTTTCTTTTTCTTAGCACTTTTGGTACTCATTGTTTAGTGAGTAGTGTATCTGAACTTTTATTGTGTTTTGAAATGAATTTCTTCTTCTGAAGTATCAAATATGTCGCTGTTACAGTTTTGTTTTAAACAACTTCACTAAACAAGGGCATGAAGGACATTTTTCCATAAACAGTTGTCCCACAACTGTTTTCACATAACCGCAACAAGCAAACAGTCAGCTTTCCCACAATATCTTCCTGTGACAGCGCAGTTGTAGCTGAAAAGCTAAGAAGTTGCAGCTGCACCAAACAAAGTCTTAGCGCTGCACAAAAATCCAACACACACTCAGTTAATAGAAGTGGCAGGTAAAAATATAAGAATTTTTTACGTGAAAAATTCAAAACGGAAAAATATTGAAATGATACACTATGAGTTAGTGATTACACGTTCAGGCCCTTATCCCACAGACAACAAAGGGTTACACAATTTCTTGAAGTACAATGTTTGCAGATTGAAGGAAGCATTTCGCAGCAGTCTGGAGTCGTTACAGCTAGGAGTAGTTTTTGGTCAGTATATCTTCTTCGAGATGCATCAGTGCACTGTCTTAAGACAATGTGTTGCTCCGTAGCATGCTTCATTACTTTACGGTGTTGGTGGTTACTATGCATATTGTTTCATTACTTCATGGTGCTTCTGGTTACACTACACAGTTCTTTGTTACTTCATGACATTGGCGGATACTATGCATGATGCTTCTTTACTCCGTAACGTACGTCTTGGACTCTGCACGGAGCTTCGTTACAACAACCAAGTAGAGAATGTTGGTGAGTGGTGGTCAATGGCTGCATAAGTGAGAAGCGTTCGTCGGGTATTCGATTTGGAATGACACTTAAATTCATCTCATCTGCAAACCAACACTATGTCTAGCTCCCCGATTTGAGGCCTAGCTCCCTTTGATTCAAGCCTAGTTCCCTTTTCATGAAGGGGTTATGGCTCTATTTATAGAGTCTGTGAGAGGCCTTCGTGCAAATAAGGAATAAATCTAGACCACTCCATCGAACGGCCTAGAGAGACTCCCTTGGGCAAATTACATTTGGTGGACATTTAAATGTCTTAATGATGTCAAAATTAAGTGATTTTGGACTTGTTGAATTCATCTCATCAAGACACTCAATTCAAATATAAGCTTTTCAGATTTGAACTCCATAAGACCTTCCAGTTATTCACCCAAATCTTTCAAAAGTGGTTCAATCACTACAAAAGATGTTCAAAATAGTGTTGGATATTTGCGTCTGCATTTTTCGACGCTGATATTTGAATCAAATTTGCTACTATTACATGATGAAAAATAGTTGATGTTATTAATGGCGGAATTACATTAGATTTGCCTCTGATTAATCAGCGCAAAAGACTATTCCATGACAATGAAATTTACAGTGGTAATGCGGCGGTTTGTGGGTTGTATTTGCGTCAAATAAATCGACACACAAGATTAACATAAAAGCATCAAACGAAGATGACACACAGTAGACAAAAAATCTAAAGAAAGAGACCTAAAATATCAATTATGCACCTTCCATTTCATTTTCTTCTTCGCACGCCCCTGAAACTTTCACATCTCCTCTCGTCTCTCTCTGGAAACTGAAATCCTCCCCCGATACAACTTCAGTCACCGATCACTGATACCTCGTCATCGTTGTCTCCCTCACCATCACCGGTCTCCCTCGTCTTAACTGATAGCACCGCCAAGTGCTTTCTCTCATATAGGTTCTGTGACCGATCACAGAAGATAATGTTGTCTGCCCCATTTTTTTCCTTCTAAAATTTTGGTATGTATGTAAGATTTGAAGTTTATGAGTTAAGTATGTATATACATAAGATATCAGCGGTATGTATGCAAGTCTTCTTATGCATTGAAGTTTAAGTGTTAGCTATATATATACACAAGTATTGAGTGGAGTGTATGAGAATCTAGATGTGAATGTTATTAGTAGAATTCAAGTTGGTTGGTTGAATTAGTGTAATAATGCAACAAGTCTATTATTCAAAGTGAAGTTGATATAGATAAGAATGTTATTAGTAGAATTCAAGTTGGTTGGTTGAAGCAGCAGAGTAATGCATCATTTCTATTGTTCAAAGTAGCAGTGATATAGATGGGGTTGCTATTTGCAAAATTCATGTTGGCTGGTTGAAGTGGATGAATGCATCAGGTCTATTGCTCAAAACTGATGGCGATATAGATGGGGATGTTATTTGTATAATTTACATTGACTGTTTAAAATGGAGAAATGCATCAGGTCTATTGTTTAAAGTGATGACGATATCGATGGGGATGTTATTTGTAAAATTCATGTTGACTGGTTGAACTGGAGGAATGCATTGGGTCCATTGTTCAAAGTGATGACTATATAGATGAGGATGTTATAATTTTTAGAATTCATGTTGGCTGGTTGAAGTAGAGAATGCATCGAGTTATTGTTTGAAATGATGCTGATATAGATGGAGATTTTATTAGTAGAATTCAAGTTGGTTGGTTGAAGTGGATGAATGCATCAGGTTTATTGTGTGATAGAAAAGTACCGCTTATACTACAAGGAAAAAATTATATGATGGTGTTGAGACCTGCAATGCTCTATACTGTAAAATGTTGGTCTTTAAAAGGAAATCATAAAAAAAGTTAATTGTTGCTGAGATGAGAATGCTTAGGTGGACGTCTGAGTGTCTTGACACTTAGAGACAAAATGATGAATGAATATATAGGTGATATGGTTGTCGTTGATCGAGGGGCGAACAAGATTAGATAGAGATTGTCTTAGACATGGTTTGATCATATTAAATATTGACCAATTGATGAGCCTTTGGAGACTCTGAGAGCTGCTTGGACAAATAATGTCAACTTCAAATATTGATTAGTACTGAGTAATTTTTATTTTTCATAGCAGTTGCACTGATCAATAAAACTACTTTTACACTGCAGATGGATAGTTGTAATTTCAGAGCTTGGATGTATAACATATTACTTTTACGAGCAAGAACCAGAAGTTTAGTACGATAGCAAGATCAGCTATTACTGCGTACTTGAAGAAGTGATTCAATTTCAATGTCTAGGTAATGTTACGCACATTGTATACTTGTTCAGGTATTAGTGCTTCGATCCTGTTCCGAAGCGAGGAACTTGAACACTTACACCTTATGGTATCATCGAAGTCAAAATGAACAGAGGATACACAAAGTTTGACCTATTTGTTCTGGCACACCAAGCTACCCAGGTTTATTACCTTTGATACCTAGTAGAAGAAGAGATAAAGTTGATTGAGTTGTGGTTATGAAGAAAAAACTAAAGAAAACTATTGAGCTATAAAATATTATAAAGCTAATTCACTAATAGAAAGGTATATCAGATTTTCTCATTCAAACAAGCAAAAACGATGAAATATTTGCTCTAGAGGATACCACGACAATTTTTGAATAGGTTCGGCATGATATGGATGAGAATGATGTTGGGATTGAAGCAGAAATTTTAAGTTCAACTTCGAAGATGAGTCCTCTAATGAAAGTTAAGACAATGATATGTAATTTTGGATAAAATGTTGAGATGATATGCATTTTATGTTGCGTGTAGGTTGTGGAAATGTAATCGTTATTTCATATTTTTTTTCTATGCAACAATTTTGCATTTGATTTGTGTTGTTTTGCGTCGATTATTCTGATGCTTAAACAACAATTATTTTATGTAGTTCTTCGATATGAGCTGCAGCTAATTCGAGGGTAATCTGACGCATAAGTATAATGTATGGTTTCCTCCACGCAATTTCGGACGTGCTTGTAGCCTCAACGATAACTAACGTTAAGTTGACGCAAATATGATGTAAATACATTACAACGAATTATTCTAACGCTAAAGAGACGAAATAACATATGTAGATGGCCACAAAACTGGCAATAACCCTCAAATATCGTCAGATTAACCTTTTATTTACGTTTGTTATATCCGATGCAAATTTGCTCAATTTCTATGGTGAATGGCTTGATCCGAGCTTGATTTGATTCAGATTGGATCAAATGTGGTGTCACTGTGCTATTCTCTTCGAGACGATCATTTTGACTCAAGTTTGCTTAACTCAATGTTTTGAATAATTTTTATATGGTACTTCAACTTTTCTTGTCCAAGAATTGCTCTTAGATTCATGTCAATCACCCTGAAATTCATGTCAAATGATAAGTTTTTTTTTATAATCTACCATATATAATTAATAATTTGTTCTCACCATCTAAATTACATTCTAGCATAAGCATCCACACACTTAAATTTTCATTATCCCAATCACATATTCACCTATAAATTAATCGAAAAAGAAAAAGACAATAACACATTCTATTTCAAGCGTAAAAGCGATCTTATATGGGCTATATAATGGAGCTTAAAGAGCATCAAATTACGTAGCTTAGCAAACTGCACCAGTGCTTCTTAGGAAGATTTACAAACATACCACTCAATTTTTATGTATTTACATCTCTAACCTCTAAACATCAACTTTTACATATATGCCACTTTATAAATGCATGAAAAGGTTTATTTCACTTTTTTAAAGTTAAAATATCAAATGAAAACGCCAAAATATATGAATTTAGATTTACAACCTCCTAAAAATTTGACAAAAATCCTAAACAATTAGAATAATAAGATAGCCATGCTGCCTCCACCATTAGTCTATTACATTTGCCAGAAAGAATCATTTATAGCATATCTTATTTTGGATGCTTGCTTTGTAGCCATCCAATGCCCACCAACAAAATCAAGATTTGAACCCTAATCCAATCTTAACGTTAATTACATGCAAGCTGTATTAATATTCCTTATTTTTTCTCTCCTTTGTTTTATTCCCTTCAGCCATGTTTACAGCATGGAGTTTTGTTTGGTAATATTCCATGCATTATACATTATATATATATATATATATATATGGCTATGTTTAGATTTACAAAATCATTAGTAGTTCATATTGAACACAAAAATAGGAAATACAATAATGTGTCGAGAAACAATATAGTTAATTTTAAGGGAATTTTGAATACATGCAGCATAATTTTTATGTTTTTATATATCTAACAAACCCTTTGTTGTTTTAAATCTATGCATGAAAATGTGCGTCTTACTTTTAAAAAATTGATAATATTAGTATTTTTTATATGATGTTAAAGATTTGAGTGATATGTATATCAATGTGAAAGGTTATGTATTATATATGTAAATATATTGAAATTATGTGGTGTGTGTATAATCACAACAAGAATTTCGAGGCAAAACTTAAGAACATGAAAAAATCACAGAGCCACACCACCAAAAAATTTCACTGTGAATTGAGAACCTTACAGATTACACCAATGAGATCTTCTCTCTAAAATCACCGGAACTTATAATATATTTCCTCACGATCTCATAAGAGAAGGCCCTCGTTTTTTAATAAGCCTCCGGACAATTCATCTTTACAAAGAAGTCTCTGTCGAGAAACACCGCACGCGAGAGTGTCAGCCTTCTTCGCTCAAATCAAGACTTAAGAACCGAATAGGAGAGAAAGCTTGCTTGACGTATTCAAGCTGTCCTTGACGTAATAATTTAGATCGCTTGGCAAGAAGGCTTGGAATGGAGTGACCCCGCAGCATAGTCACGCCGTGCGACATAGCTAAACCATTTTAGGCGTGGCTACGCCATGTCAAGCAAAGAAGGGCCTCCATTTGCTCCTTCGGGGCTCCGTCTCCTCAACATATGATGGTTGCTTGCTAGAAAATCTCTGGCAATAAAATGAAGATTTTGTCTTAATTTTGCACGAGAATCAAACCAGCTTTAAA